AGGGTGTCATGTGCATCCTTATGTTGGGGTATCAATATATTTAGGATGATAAAGAGTGTTATGCAATCCCAACTAAAAGCCCTAGAAATTTCAGTTCGTTACAAAAAAATGTTTTTTGAGTTAATGATTCAGGAAGCAAGCTCAGATCACCGAGTATGAAGGTGATGGGGGCCTGTTCCGGCTGGGGAGGGGTCAGACCCCGCCCCATGCTGGAGAATACAAGTGGGGGGAGGCAGCTACATCTGTGACACCTCTGTAGCCTTTTACAAAAACTCGAAAGAGAAGGTGAATAATACATTTTATTTTTTTTTAAAACAGTTTGGGATTTACAGAAAAACTAAGCCTTATGCTAAGTGAGGTAAGTCAGAAGGGGAAAAATCCTGCATGATTTCACTCATGTAGAAAACAGAAACCAAACAAATGAACAGACAAAACAAACAAACACAATCTCTTAGATTCTTTTATTTTTAAAGATTTATTTATTTGTGCATACAGAACTGGGGTACAGGCCAGAGGCTCAGGGGCGGTGAGAGGCTTCACCAGAGACAGAGTGGGGAACAGAACAGGCAGATCGACGAAGTACACTGCTGAGGGGAGCAGCGGGCGGGTCAGGAGAGGTCTGCCACGCCATGTGGTCACCTCCGGGGCAGGCGGGAATCGAACTCATGAGGAAGCGGCGTTAGATTCTCAGTGCTATGCTTTAACCCGCTGTGCCACCAGGGAGGGCCAGATTCTTTTATTTTTAAAGATTTATTTATTTGTGCATACAGAACTGGGGTGCAGGCCAGAGGCTCAGGGGCGGCGAGAGGCTTCACCAGAGACAGAGTGGGGAGCAGGACAGGCAGAGTGACCAAGCGCACTGTGAGGGGAGCAGTGGGGAGACAGGAGAGGTCTGCTGCGTCCTGGGGGTCGGCTGGAGGGGAGTGGAAAGGCGACCTCACACTGAAGTGGCTTCGGCCAGCAGGGCTGCGCTTTAACCTGCTGCTGCACCAGGGAGGGCCCCTGTCCCTTTGATTCTAACGACAGGAGGGTGGTGACCCAAGGAGAAGGGGAAGGGGGTGCGGGGCAGGGAGATGGAAACCAGGGCTCTGGCGGAGGGTGTGAGGTGATGCTCCTGGTGATGTTCACCAGCCAGTGGGAAGTTTACACGGTGCCTAAAGCAGTGATGGCTCAATTAAAATTGTAGCGCTGAGACTTCCCACAAGTGCTGGCGGTTTCCTGTTAACAGATTAGCCAGTGCATCTGTCACGGCCAGTGAACCAGCACTGACACGTCAGCGATGCCGGGGCCTGCGCTGGACGCCGTCCTGTGTTTTGCCTGTTCTCTTGCTGTCCCAGGCCCATCAGACATCACACGTTACCTCTAGTGCCATGGCCCTGAGGTGCGTGTCTGTGTGCACACACGAGTCCAGGCACACACGTGTCCGGAAACACATCCCCGCACAGCTGCACCTACACAGACACGCCATGAAGCATGCGTATCCGAATGCTAGTAGTAGCCCTCGCTGCATGGCTGTCATGAAATAAAAATTAATTTTCTGCCTACATCTTTGTGTCCCCACGTTTTCTAGAGTACATGTGCATTTCTTCTGCAACCAGGAAGCCAGAGGGCGCTGCTGCGTTATTCTCACAGCTCTGCCAGCAGCCGCCCTGTTCTGTTTGACAATGGCCTTGGCCTTCCTGGCTCCACGACCTTGACAGTCTAGAAGAGACCAAGCCAGAGTATGGTAGGATGCTCCTCCGAGAGTTGTCTCCTGATTGCAGGGGCTGGATGGGTTTGGGCAGGGGGATCACAGAGAAGTGCCGTTTCCTTCACTTTGTGTTAAGGTGACACTAACATGGCGCAGCTTCAACAGCTGACCCGACCTTGAAGCTGACCGGGCGGCTGCCGCAGCTTGTCCTCTGGAAATGTGCTCCCTCCTCCTCCAGCAGTGCAGCTGACACTCTCCCCTGCACAGGCCCCCCTCGAGTGGGGTGTCACACTACATAGCTCACCTGGAGTTCTGCATGCGAGGCCTGTCTTCCCCACCGTGGACTAATGTAATTGATCATTATGTCAGATCAATTGTCATTATGTCATGCTCGCTTCAGGGCTGCAGCCCAGTGCTGCTTTATTTCTAGCTTCTCCCCGCTTCCACCCTGGGGTGTGCACCGACGCCCTTGGGCATGGCCCCGCCAGGGCACTGTGTTGGGCGCTTCTGCACTTTGTAGCAGCACCAGCTGCTCCAGCCTCACCTGTGTGCTTCCTGCCCCAGGCCCAGGTAGAAGCCCCTGTTTCTCCAGGCCTCCCTGGTTTCTTTTATTGAAACCAAAATCAGGGTGTCATGTGCATCCTTATGTTGGGGTATCATTTCTTCCCCGTTTCATTTTTACTGGTGACTGCACCTCCTATCTGAGCTGTCCCACACCTTAAGGTTGATAGCAATGGACAGTTGATTTCATACAAGGCAGAACTCCTAGTCATCAGAGTTGAGCAGAGTGGCGTGTAGAACTGGGGGAGCGCGGGCAGTCTCTCTTCAGGGCAATGCCAGGACAGTGCCCCCAAAGGCTGAAACCAGCCTCGTAGTCAGTGGGCTCCTGCCGCGCGGGAGGCCGGGACCAGGGAACTCGAGGGGCACCACGTGGTATTTAAAAAGCTCAATCTGATGGTGGTGGTTCCCCCTTTCCTTTAGTAGGTGCTTAATTAATAAATGTTTTGCCGAAATGTGTTGTGCTGACTGGGCCTGACTGGGCTTGGAAATCCAGAGAGACAAAGCTCAAAGGTCATCTAGAGCTGTGCAGCTGCTGAGAAAGCTCAGCTTACCCGAGTGCAGGGAAAGTGCCCCAGCCTGATCACTTCCTCCTTTGTGCTACTGATGCATTTGTTGCAGTGCTCTGGCCTGTTGGAACAGCCTCTGACTTTCTATTTCCCCGAAATACCCTGCCTGGCACTCCGCCTTCCCAGACAGGCTTTGCTGGATTAAAGGGGGTTTCCAGGTCCCGGAGAGAAAAGATTGTCTGCCCCCCCCCACCCACCCCGGGCTTCCTGTCCAGCTCACCGGCCTTTTTTGGTTTGTTTTTGTCTTGGTCAGGTTTTCCGTGCTGGAGCCTTGAATCCCACGCCCACTCCACCATGGCCAGCCGGGGCGGGGGCCGGGGTCGCGGCCGGGGCCAGCTGACCTTCAACATGGAGGCGGTGGGCATTGCGAAGGGGGATGCTGTGCCCCCCCCAACCCTGCAGCCTTCTCCTCTCTTCCCGGTGAGTGTTCGCCTGCCGTCGGGTGGAGAGCCTGGAGAGCCGTGCCCCTGGCGCGTGTGACCCCAGACTCTCCGGGCGGCAGGACACGGCCCTCACCTTGCCTGCCTCTCTGCGCCGGTCCCCCGGACGCCTGGAAGGCGACAGAGCGTCCACCCAGTGTTCGCCCTTGTTTTCCATCGGCCCCACTCGGCCTGGGCAGTGGGCTGAATGGGGGAGAGGCCTCCTGGACTTGCCCTCCAGCGGCTTCTCCCTGAACTGACCCCACCCTGCCTCCTTAGCCCCTGGAGTTCCGCCCAGTGCCTCTGCCCTCCGGGGAGGAGGGGGAGTACGTCCTGGCCCTGAAGCAGGAGCTGCGGGGAGCCATGAGGCAGCTCCCGTACTTCATCCGGCCGGCTGTCCCCAGGAGAGGTCAGTGACAGCTGGGTAAGGCCCCTGAGCAGCCCCTGGGCCAGCCCCCTGGGGGTTCCTGGTAACCACAGTGGCCACTGTTTTGAGTCTCAAACTAGCCTTGGTAGGTGGAAGATTAAGACGTCCACTTCCCATGTACACATGTGGATGTGGTCAGGATTTTAACTGAATTACAGGCACCAGCCAATCAGGAACAAGCCCCCCTTGGTCAGTGGGTCTGGGAGAAGTTGGGGAGACAGGAGAAGGGGGTGCTCCCAGAAGGCGTGGGGAGTGCCCCTCCCTCACGGGATACAGGTTTTCAGTTCCCTGCCAGCTGGTGTCTTCCTGCTGAAGCTGGGGAGGCAGTGCTGAGACTCAGCTCCCCCCTCCCCCCCCCAAGGGAGGGTGTGGCCCAGTGGCACCCTGGACCGGGCAAAGGCCAGAGTGGAACCAGCTCCCTGCCCTAGAAGTTTCCTCAGCACCCCTTTCTTTCCAGAACTGCCAAGGCTTTGGGCTGGGGTTTACAAACATTGGCATTTGGGGTGACAAAGGGACAGTTTAGAAGATGTTGAAAGGTCCCCTGCAGCCCACCCCGGGCTCTGGGCTGGGGGAGGGAGCACAGAGGGCTGAGACTGGAGGACTGCGCCCTTAGGGTGAAATTTGACCTTTGACTTCTGACCTGCAGATGTGGAGCGTTACTCAGACAAGTACCAGATGTCGGGGCCAATTGACAACGCCATTGACTGGAACCCTGGTAAGGAAGGCCCCTTTCCCTGAAAGGGGGGGAGGCTCCAAGTCACAGCCACCAGCTATGACTCCCGGTGCCCCTCCAGGCCACCTCCCTCCCCACCCTGCCTCTGTTGAGTACCTTTAAATTAGAGCCTTAGATGTGCCAGAAGCTCTCTGCAGACTATCTCAGAAGCTGCCTCCCCACTGCCCTGGGGGCAGCTAAGCCAGGACTGTCCTAAGCAACTGTATGCAGGCTGCAGGCGGTTCCTTCTCACTGTCAGTCGGCCTCCCCTCTCCTCCCCTTTGAACAGTCCTTCCTGCGGCCAGGCCCAGCGCTCTACCACTGAGCTCTAGCCCTCCCTGGTGGTGCAGGGGTCAGATCCCAGCCAGAGAGTGGCCCCGGGGCACAGCAGACCACTCCTGCCTCCCCATACTCCCCCCAGCAGTGTGTTTCAGTGGAGAGCTGCTCCCCACTGTCTCTGGTGAATCCCCTCACCCTCTGAACTCTCGCTTGCACCCAGGCTCTTGTGTGCATGAATGGATAAAAATAAAGGCTTAAAAAAAAGTCCTTCCTGAGACCCCAGGTGATCCACTGACTCATTTCCATTCTTCCCAGACTGGCGACGTCTGCCCCGGGAGCTAAAGATCCGAGTGCGGAAGTTACAGAAGGAGCGTGAGTGTATTTGGAAAAAGAGAGAGAAGAAAGCTTTCCTCCATCAGTGGAAGGGCCAGGGTGGGCGTGGCTGCAGGCGCCTGTCCCACCCTGGCCCTGTCTGTTGCTGGACTCCCCGGTGGCCACAAGAGGGCGGCAGAGTACACGGCCTCCAGGAGCGGGTGGCCCGCGTGGGGCGTTTGCTCAGCTTGTCAACTTTTTTTAAAAGATTTTTTTATGTTTGCATACAAGAACTGTATGCATACAAGGGGGGAGGCTGGCGAGAAAATTAACCAGAGACAGAGCAGGGAGCAAAACAGCTAGATCCACTGAAATCCACTGCTGAGGGGAGCAGCGGGGAGCAGAAGAATCTGTTGAGCCCTGGTGGTCACTCCCTGGCCCCGGGGCTGCAGGTAGCTTCATGGTGGTGTGCTTGAATCTCTTGCGCCACCAGGGAGCCCTCCTACTGTTCACCTTTTGATCCCATCCCCAGGAACCACCATTCTGCTCCCTAAGAGGCCCCCAAAGGTGACAGGAGATAAAGAAGAAACAATCCAGAAACTGGAGGTGAGGAGGACGTGGAGGCCACCTGTGTCCCAGCGCTGGTCCCTCCCCCTTGTTGCCGGGCCTCAGCTTGCCCCCTCTGTGCTGAGTCTCCCTGTTCATCTCCACATAAGACCCTGGAGAAGAAGGAGGAAGAAGTGACTTCAGAGGAAGATGAGGAGAAGGAAGGGGAAGAGGAGGAGGAGAAGGAGGAGGAGGAAGAGGAGGAGTATGACGAAGAAGAGCACGAGGAGGTGAGGGGCCTCCTTTCCCCTCAGTCCCCCCCAGCCCCGGGACCCATGTCCTCACGGGTGCTCTGTGCAGAGGGCTGGAGCCCAAAGAAGATGCTGCCCCCAAAGGGTAGGGCCTTTCCTGGCCTATGGGCCCGGTGCTTCGCTTCTCGGAGCCAGCTGGGCCTGGAGTTGGGCGACTGGGGGGGAAGGGGCCCGGGACGCAGGCCGCCGGGAAGTGCCGAGTGCGCTGGACTTCTGTTTGTATAATCTCTATTTCAGGAAACTGATTATATCATGTCGTATTTTGATAACGGAGAGGACTTTGGCGGTGACAGCGATGACAACATGGATGAGGCTATATACTGAAGATGGACCCTCAGCTACACCCTGGAGTTTGGTCTCTCGGTCTAAGGCACACAGCATGACTGTCCCCACAGTGGCCTTTGCGGACAAGCAAGTTTGCTCAGAGTCCGTAGCCCGTTTGGTCCCTGGAGAGGGCCGTGGAGACCGGCGACAGAGCTTTTCTGCCTCCTGCCCCTCGACCCCTCAACCACCTCTGATATCTTGGGGAAAGAGCAAAGGACCAACGTCTTACTGATGAGAAAAGGAGAAAGGAAAGTGAAAAGGGACTGCAGCGTCAGCACGGAAACAGCCGCGCACAGACCTGCCCGTGTTTACAGCGCTCCGCGAGATAATGGGGGGTGAAAGCAGCTCGGAGAAGTAAAAGCAGTTTTATTTTTTTTAATAAAATATTTTCATCTGTCTCTGTCCAGGGTAAGGCCTGGCCAGAGTGGGCCCAGCAGGAGGGGCGGCTGGCTGAGCCGTGTCTGCCTGTGCCCTGTCAGAGCCGATCTGGCCCCGCGGGGGGCCCTGGGCTCTGCCTCGGCGGCTGCCACTGAGTAGTGGGAACAGCCCGCAGCCTGAGGCCAGCTGGCTGCCAGCTCTGTCCTTAGCCACAGGGCACCATTATCTTAGCTCACAGCCCCGCCTTTCCCACACCTGACCTTGGTCTTGTGCTTGTTGACAAGGAAGGTTGCAGCTATTTTGTGGGGAGACTAGAAAGCCAGGTGCCAGCTAGAGAGGAGCTCCTGAGACCCTTCAGAACGCCCACCCACTGGCAGACCTGCGGCCAGGTCGAAAGCCAGTGTTTGCAGAGTGCCCTCGAGGGCCTCCTCCCCCCAGCTGCTGCGTGGCTGAGGGCAGTTTCCCTTTTGGTTCTTTTGTGGAACTTCATTTAGCCTTGCTCATCCCTGCCGGGCACAGGAGAGTTGGGGTTGGGTGCTGCTTGGGGGGGGGTAAGGGGGGGAGGGAGTGACTTAGGGACACCACAGCTGGGGAGATGCTCGCCCACACAGTGCTGGGTGAGGTCACTTCCCGGGGCTCTGATTGGCGCCTGAGGGAGCCCGCAAGGAGCCGATTGGCTCCAGCCTCTTGGCATGCAGCAGCCACGGGCCAGCCTCGTGTCCAGGCGGGGGCTGAGTCTCAGCAGACACAGATAGCAGGATGCTGCCATAGCGACCCCACAAACATATGGGAACTGAAGAGATGAGAAGCAGGAGAACCTTGGGCAGAATCCCCAGCCACATCCAGGCAGGTCGCCTGGGTTTCTTCAGCATCAAATGGCAGAGACCAGCACGACTGTGTCAGGCACTTCTGAGGCTTTCGTGGAGTGAACAGGGGTGGTGGTACCACTGAAGGAAATCATCTTAAAAGCCTGGCTCATGGTAGCAGTCGTTAAGGTAGAAGTAGTCAAGAGAACAGAAAAGGAAACAGAAACAGAACATTCCAGAATTATTGAGCAATTTGCGATGATGAATGTGTTTCCTTTTCTCAGTTGTGTGTATATGGCGGGCTGGGCGAGGCACTGTCCATGGGGTTTCCCTTAGTCACACTCTAGCCTGTGAGTGAACTGGGGAGAAGTCAGCAAGAAATAAAAAGACTCGGACACTGCTTTTGCATTCCTTCCCGTGGACACACACACCAGTTCCAACCTGCTCAGCTCTATCTGTCTCTGCTGGGGTCACAGCTAACCCCCTAAATCCCACTTGATGCCAGGGAATCTCAAAGTGTGAGAATAAAGAAGATTCTAGGGCCTTCCTGGCACTGGGGTGGAGTCTCAGCACTATGAAGCTGTCCGCGGCTGCTGTAGCTCAAGTTCAAGCCCCAGCCAGGGAGTGACCCACAGCACACAGCCGGCTCTCCTGTCTCCCTGCTGTCCCCTCAGCAGTGGGTTTCAGTCAATCTACCTGTTCTGTTCTCTGCTCCCCACTCTGTCTCTGGCGAATCCTCTCACCCCAGCACCTCTGGCCTGTACCCCAGTTCTGTATGCATAAAAAAAAAATCTTATAAAAAAAAAGCAAGAAGATTCTAGACAAAAGACAGTAAGGAGTTGGAGGACTGGGACACCCTGCCCCACCTCTGCACAGACCCAGTCTTCTCCCATGAAGTGGGAGAAAGGAGGACACAGGTCACAGTGACCCCGGGGGTCAGTTATCCTGTGCTCAAAGGCACAGTGTCAGAAACTCAGACCGTTCTAAATTCTTCCCGTCTGGCCTCCTGCCCCTCCTGGCAGGTAACCTTGTTCTGCAAAGTCAGAGACACGGGACTCAGCTGTTCAGGCCCGGCGTGCGCTGGAGGTTGCCTCTGACCTCTCCCCCACTTTCCAGACGTTCTGCCAGGCAGGCTGAGGGCTGGGACCGAAGGCCAGTACCCAGAGCCGGGGTCCTACGTGGAGGACCCCCGACAGGTGAGAGGTTGCAACATTCAGAGAGCAACCTGAGTGTGCCTCGGCCTGGTCCCAGGTGCCTGCTGGGCCGCTCCTGTGGGCCCACAGCCTGGACTACGGCCGCAGTGTAGGCCCCCAAGGGTCACACCCTGGCCAGGCTGGGTTCTAGCCCTAGCTGCCAGGTCCTGCCTAGGGCAGGAAGCTTGGGGAGGGGCCTGTGGACCTCAGCACAAGGACTCAGGTGGTCTGAAGAAGGGCTGGAAGCACCAGGGATGTGCCCTACGGGCAAGGCAGTGGGAGAGGCCAGTGGCCGGAGGGCTGGGGCCAGCCCAGAGGAGGGCTGGGGCGGCCCACGCATTGCCCAGAGCTGGGTGAGGGCGACCACTGTTTTCCTCTGTCACTCGCATTACTGTTGTGCCTGGAAAGGGGGGAACCCACCTCCCGGCTCCTCGCACGCACGGCGGCGGCTGCTTGCATGGATGGGTGGAGCTCCAGGCCCAGGGCCCAGGGATGAGTGTTCTCCCCGGGGGTAGGGGCTGCACTGGTCACCGCCCTGCCCACCACTCTGCAGCTCTGCCCTTGAGAGGTGCCCCGGTGGTGTCCGAGGCGCCGTCCTCGCCTGTGAAATGAGATGGGGACACAGCCATGAGGAGCCTGGCCCACCTGCTGGCCCACCGGCAGGAGTCCACAGGGTTCTGGGAGCAAAGGTCAGACAGTGTCCAGCTTTTGCTGAGCTTGCTCGGCCCGCTGGATTTCCCGGGCCTTATTTTTGGCCTGGACAAGCTGAAGATAGCTCCGGCGTCCAGCCAGTCTGTTCCAAGAACTTGCCCCAGCCTGAGCAGCAGGAGGATCAGCAATTCCATCAACAAGAAAGGAGGTCACCCTGCAGCCAAGGTCAAGGTCACAGCTCACAGGCCAGGACTCAGGCCAAGGCCACCAAGACATTTCTGACAGTAGGGACAGGAGATGGCAGGTTCCCCCCCCCCCCCATCACGTGCAGCCAGAGGCGAGCAATGAGCTGGACAGGAATAGCTCGGCTAGTAATCTGGCCAGACTGTGGTGACCCCTTCTCCCCTAACCTTTCCCCTACTGAGGCTCACCTTTGCCCTGAAGTCATTTGAGACCAGACAGTTGGAAATAAGTTCTAGGGTTTTCATGTCGCCCCAGAAACACCTGGGCTTAGCCCCAACACACTTACTTGCCCTTTTGTATCCTGGAAGTGGGGGGCTTCTCTCTGCAGCCTCATGGGGATGTTTGGGAAGGAAATGGTCCCCACGCAGGGAATGGGCCTGAGGGCAGGTGTCCATGCCTGGGGGCCCATCGCTCTGAGGAGAGGAATCAGGCCCGGCTCTGGGTTCTGCTAACCCAGCCCTGCCAGTGCCCCACTCTGAGTGCGACACTCTCCCAGCCAAGCCCCCCCTCTGCCCAGGACCCTCAGCTGTGAGCTGGGCTTCCCACCTCCCCTGAGTCCTCCCGCCCCGATTCCACTCTTCTCCGTAGACAATGGACAAAGGGAGGAAATGTCCCAACCCTGCTGAATCCCAGTCCTGGCCGCCCGTGGGAACCATCACAGAACTGTGGGTCTGGAATTAGTGGGGATCAGCTAGATCTTAGCCTCCCAGTGGGGGGCACTCACCTGATCAGGGGCACACACCTGGGGGCCCTTCCTGGGCGCGGGAGCCTGCGCCCCCTGGACAGGGAGAGGTGTCCTGGCACACACCTCCGGGCTCTGCTGTGGCCAGAGGGGCAGCCGTTCAGCAGGGCCCTGGGCTGAGGTCAAGGTGACCCTGTGCGCTCCCCTCTGCGGGGAAGAGGAAGTGTGGCACACACACTCAGTGGGAGCCAGGGCTGCTGCCTGGCCCGTTTCCGGCCTGTCCTTCCTGTCCCCACCCTCCCCGCTGGCACAGCGGCTCCGAGGCGCCATACTTGGCCGCTGCTGCTCTGGCCCCTCACCTCTCCCCCAGCTGGCCTGGCTCCCGTTTTCAGTGTTGTGTACACCCCGTGCCACCTCCGCACCTGTCTAACCTCTCCCGGAGCAGACATGCCAAGGATGGCCGTCAGCGTCCCGCGAGCTGGACCGGCTGGGCTGGGCCGGGGGGAGGGGGGGTCTGTCTGTCTCGCAAGTCGCCTTTGCCCCAGTCACAGCGTATGCCGCTCGTGGCGGCCAGGCGAGGCCGGCGGCCGGCCGGAGGCCCCGACACGCGGACATGTCTGTCTTTCCGAGTGCCCCTTTTGCTTTCAAGATTGGGTGGGGGAAGGAAACTTATTTTTATGCTAAACTGCACAAAACCATTCTCTGTAAATCAAAAGCACACCTTTTAAATGTAGAAGACATTTGCAGGGCAGGATTTTGCCTGGGATGGGCTTTGCCCTGCTCTGGAGGCGTCCGGGGAAATGCTTCCTCTCCCTCGCCTCAGGGTTCTGCAGAGGAAATATGTGTGCAGCTATACTTAGAGCAGAGGTGACAGCTTCGACAAGCTCAGCAGCAGGAGCCTGGCAGGTGTGAATGACGAGCAGGTGCGTGTGATGCGCAGGGAGTGAGAGCTGGAGGTACCAGCCTGGGGCGGGGCCCTTGAGCCGCGGGGATTGACGCCAAGGAGGGCCGTGGGCTCAGAGTTACGCGTTAGGGTTGCTTTTTACAGAGAAGCCAGAGCAGTGCATTTTAGCAGACCCTGGTTGGGGTTTTTTTTTTGGCTAAAAAAAATTATATTGTAGTTTTAGGCTTCTAAGTATCTGATTCCACCTGTGCATGGTTGCTCTAGCTTAGGGTCCCCAGCCTCAGTTTACCGACCGCCGGCAGTTCAGGACTCTAGACAGGAGTCAGGGATCAGAGTGACCTTCCCTCAGTAACCCCTTTTCCCTCTGACTTGCCCTCCAGTTTGAGGCGCCTGTGTCGGGGTCTCCACCCACAGAGTTGGTGGGCAGTGTTTGAAGGGGTGCTAAGATATAGGAAAGGATGGGGGACAGAAAATAGCAGTCCTCGGATATGGAAGGGCATCCGGGTGCTCTGGTGGCGGGAAGCCCATGGGGATCACAACCGAGATGGAGAAAGGCACAAACTGAAGAATGATGTAAAAATAAATTTTAAGATAAATAAAATTTTTTCACTACCAAAAAAAAAAATAGGCCAAGGAAGGTTGGAGCCCCAAATCTGAAATTGTCTCCTTCTGTATCTCCTTTCCTAACCCCCAGAATGCCCTCATAGTCAAAAGAATCTTGTGGAATTGCCAACAGCCCAGCCCCCTCTTACCCTCTCCACTTCCCAGGTGACCTGGAGATAGCAGATCCTATCTTAAAAAGAAAATTATTTATTTATGCATACAAGAACTAGGGTGGAGGCCAGAGGTGCAGGATGGGGTGAGGGAGTAAGAGGACTCCCCTGAGACAGAGTGGGGAGCAGAACAGGCAGATCCACTGAAACAAACTACTGAGGGAAGCAGCGGGGAGACAGGAGAGGGCTGCGCCCTGGGGTCCCTCCCTGGCCGGGTCGGACTCAGGCTGCAGTGGCTGCCTGTAGTGTGATAACGCTCTCTGTAACCGCTGTGCCACCAGGGAGACCCAGCAGATCTTATCTTGATGGATTTTGCCAGCATTTGCAATCTCTCTGATCTCCACCAATACGTCTAATTCCTAAGAGGTATTCCCAAGAGGCCTGGATCTGGGCTCCCGAGGTCTCAAGTTCTGTCCCCAAGAGTTGGCAGTGAGGTGGATGAGGTGGCAGGGTGCTCTCCTGTAGGGCAAGAGGTGGAGCTGAAGAGAAGCCTCCGCCATGTCTCTACAGTGGGAGAAGAAGCCGCTGGGCACTGCCCAACCACCCATCCTTGACCTGCAGGCATATGGAGCTAAACACATTACATTTGGGGGCTGGAGCAGAAGGCAGAGTCTCTGTAGCGTCAGAAGATGAGACAGGCCTGAAAGACCAGGAACAGAGAGAAATGGGAGGACAGAAGACTGAGGGTCAGCCATGAGTCTGGGTAGAGGGAGGACGGAGTCAGGCCTTAGGTGAGGTGGAGGGAGGCGGGTCACTGGCCAGGAGCCGTGCCAGGGAAGCCTCCTCACGCCGAGCCCTGCCTTCTGCCCAGTAACTGAAATCTTCCCCCTTTCCATCTGCCCAAGAGGTTAAAAATATCCAAGCCCAGCATCCAGCCAGACATTTCCAAGAACCTGCTTGCTGACCATTTGATTGCCTTGGGGCGGTAGTCAGCAGTTCCCCTAACTAGCAAGGAGATGGCTTCTCCACACCCAGGACTCAAGGCGCAAACCTGTGTCCAAGTCCCCCGCCCCCCCTCCTCGTCCTGCTGCCCCCACTGCCTAGAGAAGACCCATCAGCTGGGAGTTGGGCACATCCTGGCCTGCAGAGTCTGCTCATTCTTTCCCCCTTACACAGCAGCCCAGCAGAGCGCAAGGCAGGGTCAAGCCAAGGCAAAGGTCAGAAGAGACAGGAATAGACTGACCAGGCTGATCTGGGCCTCGCCAGCCGGCCACCTCCCGTGCCACGTTTGAGCCACGCAGCCTGGTCTCCCTTAGGGGGAAAGCCCAAACGAGCAGGGATCCTTTGTGGTTCTCAGTGGATCACACTGTACAGTCAACATTCTCTGTCCAGCCCATCACTGGAAGTCCCCAGCCCCGGAAGCTAAGAAAGTCCAGTTAACTTCAGGAAGTGACCCAGAGGCCTGTGAAGCACACTGGGAGTTTTAGAGAGAAGACTGTCGTGTTCCCAGGGCCAGGCCCGAGATGCAGGGGGTCGTGCAGAGGAACCCCCGGGCTGGAGACGGGGCCCCAGCGGGGCCACCCCTCACTGCCACAACTAGCCTATACACTGCTCTCTCCTCAGACTGTTCTGTTCCCTCAGCTCAGGAAGGGAATCAAGAACAACCTTATTCGTGGTAGGTCAGAGAGAAAGAGCAATACCGGGGGATGCCTGGGAGTGGACTACCTCAAAGTGGCCGGGTGGCTGAGCCTGCTCTTTTCTTTTGCTCTCTTAGAAAACAAGCACTTGCTTGCCATTGTTCTAACATTACACATGCATTTTTTACTCCTCACAACAATCTTGTGGGGTAGCTACTTTTAGTATCTCCAATGTTACACATAAGTGAGCTAAAGTGCAGCGAGGTGAAACAAGTTGCCCAAGATTATGGAGCTTATTACGGGGAAGTAGGATAGTCTGGCCCTGGGCTCCGTGCGCTTAAGGGCCGTACTGTATCTCTATGTCTCTGTCAGGCTGGGGAGCGGCCGATCCTGGGGGCTTTTCTGGGCCAGAATGTGCGGCGGTCGTCTCTGAGCGGGAGTTGTCTGAACTTCAAACATGGAGGTGGATGTTGGGTAGAACAGAGAACAGGACAACAGCTTCTGCTCTTCGTCCAGATCTACTGAGGTGAGGGTCTTGGCACGGGGCTGCGGCCATCAGACGGTCAAGAATGGGAGTGTGTTCCTCACACACCCTGTCGGTTCCATCCCAGGGAACGGATGCTAGGAGGGTCTGTGGGCTGAGGAAAGAACAGGGCGGAGTCCCTCCTTCACCCCACTTCATACCCTTCAGTGCCGAAGTGGCTGTTTTTAGTGCTTAGTCAGATCCTCTTTCCACAATTTGCCTACCAAAGCCTCAAACCCTGTCCGGAACCCAGAATGCTTCCTTGGTACCGACAGTGTCTGTGTTAACTGCACGTTTCCCGAGCTCTTCTCTCTTGAAAGTTCTCTTGCTTCTTCACGCTTCCCCAAAGGGGACCGGACTTACCTAGTGAGGGAGACTGAGATGGGTGGTCCTCTGATGGCTGAATGTGTGGGTGGGAGCTCCTGGTATTTTTTTTTTAAAGATTTTTATTTATCTATGCATATAAGAACTGGGGTGTAGATTCACCAGAGACAGAGGTGGGAACAGAACAGGGGGACTGAGAGAGACCCACTGCTGAGGGGAGCAGCAGGGAGACAGGAGAAGTCTGCTGGGCCCCTGGGGGTCCCTCCCTGGCTGGGGATCAAACTGGTGTGACAGCAGCTACAGGCAGCTTCATAGTGCTGTGTCTTAACCCCTTGTGCCACCAGGGAGGCCCCTAGGGAGCTCTCCAAAATTTGTAGGCCTTTAAAATAAAAAGGCCTACAAAAGACCAAGAGAACAGAAGTCCCTAAATATTCACCCACTGAAGTGGAGAAACAGCTGGGTCAGCACCCAGGACCGTGTACTCGTGTCTATAAGCAACACACGTCTTGAAGCGAAATAAAGGTGGTATTTTCAGAGGGAAGGGGCGATGGATGGGATTCGCTTCCTCTGAGGAAACCCTGACAGCTGCTTCCTTCCTCCCTCAGATTTTGCTGTGTGGCAGCCTTGAGACAGGGAGCTAAAGTAATTAAACAAAAGTGCAGTCCATAGGTCACCGTGGCCTCTTTTCAGCGTGGCTCATGGCTGCCTCTTAGCACCAGTAAAGAACATTTCCAACTTCACAGAAAGTTCACTGGACAGTGCTGGACTAGAGGTGCTGGGAGGGCAGGGGCCACATCGGTCAGGTGTCCGCAGACGTGGGTGACGCCCACGCAGCGACCGGCTGCAGACACCAGCCCTGTGGACACTCGCCTCGGGCCTGCTCTGCCCGTCCAGCTCCTGGAAAACAAGCTATAGAAAAAACTTTTCCATCAACTTTAACCTAGTTTCCTGGTTGCAGATCCACAAAAGGGAGGAGCCAATAAAATCCTGAACAGGTGAGAAAAAGGAGGTGGCTGAGGCAAGAGGAAAGGTGAGTTGCCAGGGAACTGAACCAGAAGCCAACACCTCGGTGAGGAAACAGCCAGAGCCAGCGCAGAGCGAACGCTCTGCTGAGCGTGAGACACGGTGGGAGGCTGGAACTCGGGCAGCTGCTCGCCCCCCCTTTCTGTTCAGCTGGCCCTGGCCTTACCAACGCCCATCAGTCCGAGACTGGGAATTAGTGTGGAGGTTCACAGAGAAGCTGAACCCCAAATAAGGAGCGGGACTAGCTGTGCCTGCAGTGGTTTAGATTAGCCGGAATTAACCTCTGCCTCTTCGGGTCTCCAGTGGTACTCACTTCTTCAGTGGTAACAGCGTCCCTCCCACTAGGGGTGGTGGGCTTACTTCTCTGCAAGTAAACATCGCTGCCTCGGAGGAACACGCTATGGGGGAGGGGACTGGTGAACAGCCAGCAGGCACCCAAGGAGTCCTAATGTGCAGTTAGGATCTGCAGAGACAAAAGGTGGTAGCTGCCTTCCGCAAATCCTTAAAGCCTAAATAAATTTTTGTTAGCTTATGTCTCATTCGTACAAACCAGGTTTACACTGGGAAGAAATTCTACAATGAGAAGAAATTAAATCAAACCTTAACCATTCCCTTCCAAATTCCCTCACAAACCTAACCTCATTTCCCTTTAAATTCATTTTTTTACAAAAGGATAAATACATGCCCTAATTTGAGGAATTCAGTGATGAGTTGTAGATGTTGGAAATTAGCTTAGACTGGGGCCTCCTTGGGGGCACAGGGGGGTCTCAGCACTATCAAGCTGTCTCCAGCTGCCGCAGTTGACCCCTGGCCAGGGAGGGACCCCAGGGCGCAGCAGACCCCTCTTGTCACCACCCCCCCACACACAGTGCATCCGCCTGTTTGCTCCCCACTCTGTTCAGGTGAATCCTTACTCCTCGCACCTCCGCCTACACCCCAGTTCTTACATGCATGAATCAAACTTAAAAATTAGACCACAAGAACCCACTGTAGTTCTTCACAAGACTAAATGTAGCTCAAATGCCTTCCCTCTTCACCCTGCCAACCCCTATTCTGACCATATTCTTTAGGGTAAACAGGGAGTGTTTTGTCCACAGGGTTCTCAGCCATGTGTATTGTCAAGTAGGAAGAAAGCTCCTTTAGACACTTCCTTTTCAGTCTCCAACACCATTTCACAGACAAAGTTTTTGCCATTAAAAAAAGCTTTATTTTTTTTTTAATAAAGAATATTCCCATCTGGGGTGAAAATATATCTGGTTAAGTACAAAATATAGCTTTATCTTACAAAAAGATACACAATTAAAAAAAAACAAAACATAAAACCACCTTCAGCCCATAGAAGGCGGCTAGAGCCAGGGCTCCCACACAGGACAGTGAACAAAGTGCTCAAGGGCGGGGGGGCGGCTGACCAGGCGCCAGGGTCTGCAGCCAGGGGGCTCCCCTCGCTGGGCTGGGCAGGGTGTGCCTGGGACTTCGGTGCAGCCACGCCCTCTAGTCGCTTGTGGTGGTGTCTGGAGGTTCTTCACAAAAGCAGGCATCTTGTCTGGAGTTACTCCGTGAGTTTAGAGAAGTCACAGTGGGCAAGGCTGACAGCAGCACACTCCTCATCTGATTAGAGTGTCAGGTGACAGAACTCTGCAGTCTTGGAAGTACTGAATAACACTATTTTTTGTCATTGTGCTTATTCATACATACAGACGTGCTTTAGCTTCCATGTGAGAGAGAAAATGAGAATTTGACAGGAACTAAAGTGCTAAGACCATCATCTTAGGGTCAGTTCCAAGAAGTCACATGAAAACATTCTCCCCACCCCGAAAATGTCTGCAACAGGGAAACACAGTACAGAGGTCCGAGATTGCCTGAAGATCGCTGTGGGGCACAGTAACCGCTGAGCGCCAGATTAAAGAACACTCTCAGCAAAGACAACCTAAAGCTTCTTCCCTTTCACTCACACAGGGAGCTCTCTTCAAAGTCCAAACCAAATCCTCCCTGGATGGCTTTTTGTTTCTGCTGAGTGTTCAAAGAGTAACACTGATTTTTAGAAACCCTTTCTCAGAGTTTTGGCGATGCTTTTCTTTCCCCTTTTCATTCTCCCAGTTTGTTAAATTATTCTGCTCCATGTTACTGAAGTTCAAAACCTGATGTTACAACAGTCTATAATCCCTTCAGAAAATCCTTGGGACAACGGACAACAGACCATTTCTACCCCTTACTCAAAGCTACTGAAAACTCCTTGGGTTTTCAAGGGGACTGGAGAAAAATAGGGTGGACTGGACTTTTCTACTGTTTGAAGCCCACCCAGTAAACGCCCTGGTATCAACAGCATCCCGCTGACTGAGAATGGGCGCGCACTGTTAGGACCCGGGAGGCTGCCTGCCGAGCGCCTCCTACACTGGGGGTCAGCAGGTGGGGCAGACATGTGTCCCCTCTGGAAAGACTGCCGAGGCTCTAAAGAGTCCAGGAAGAGAGGCAGAAAGAAACAAATAGATCTAGTTGCTTCTTTTCTTTCACAGGCTCACTGCACGTTGTTGTTGAGGATGCAGGGGTCCACCTGGGTGAAGAAAGAAAAGTCTTTAGTTGGGTAAGAAGAATTAACCCAGGTCAGCGACCCCACACTGAGTCAACTTCCACAGAAGGTGTAGGAGGGAGGTAAGAGGACAATTCTCACCTCAGTGTAAGTAGGTGGTGGCATGAACTTGAACTCAGGAGCGTACATAAAAATGGGGCTGTCTTGGGAGCCATCTGTGTCATCTAGCAGGGGAGTGGTGGGGCTCTCCAGCCGGTGATCTTCAGGAATGATATCCATGTAGCAAGGAGGAGCTGGAGAGAGGGCATAGGGTGAGGAGCTTGGCCAAAGGTGCCCGACTACAGTTTCACAAATCCAAAGCAGCTCAGAGGCAAAGAAGAGACGTTAGACATGGCTCACCTTCTGGGGTATCAGGGATGTTCAAATCCACCCAACTCATCTCAGAGCTGGTCCTGCTGGCCATGCTGGATGTCCGGCTGCTCAACCCCGACCTGCTGCCAATCACCAGAGGCAGGTCAAGGGTGACGTTCTTGGAGCCAGGGACACTGACATAGATCTAGAAAGGAAAATGGCAGTGTGTTAGCTTAGCGGTTTGGAGAAGACAGAAGACACCCACTTTGGGACAGATGAACGATCTCTCCAGAAGCCAACCCCACCTACTCACCAGCAGGGAGTATTCAACGCGAAGGATGTTGCAGCCCAGGATGGAAGGCCTGATCTTCTGCACTCGGAGGCTCTTGCCCCGCCAGGACGCACAGGTTCCCGAGATGATGTGATTGCCTCTGACCGACGACAGCTTTTGTTTTAGCACCTTGGTCTGGCCGTTGGCAAGGTAAGTGTGGCGGGATATAATGGCAGCTTTGGGGACCACGATGCGGGAACACGTGTTCTCGAAGTCAGCATGGATGGAAATCTCATCACCTAGCAATGACAAAAATGAAAACTTATTGATACTTAGTTCAGCTGGTGATCTTGCTCCTCTGACCCTGTCCCCCGCCCCAAACCCCAGGCTGCCATGCTATTTGACTGGATTGTCTTAAGCACAAGCTTGTTTACCTTCACAGAATCCTTTTCTGTCAATTCGGGCAGAGACAGACACTTGTCCATCAGGAATGAACATGCAGGAAACTTTCTTCTCCTTTTTAGCAGATACCGGTGCCTATGTAGGAGGAGAGAGGTGTTTTCAGAATTTTTAGACGTCATTTCTCTAGTCTCTACTCTTCGCTCCTCTCCCTAGAGTAGGCACATTCCCTCCCATCTTGCCTGGGGACTTGATTCCCAGAGGTGCTTCAATCTAATGCCCAAGACTTTTGACTTATCTGAGACCGGGGAGAACAGGATCTTAAAATGAGCCTCACCATTAAATCAGGAGTAGTGACATCCACTAGATCCATCACTTCAAAGATTTTCTTGGTCTCCTGAGTCGGCTGGCTGGGGCGATCAAGAAAAGCCTTCACCCAGTAGTCCACACACCCGTATTTTCCTTTGAAGGATGTTCCCAGTGGCCTGTGGCAAGAAAAAGAAAACACTTAAACATGCCCTCCAGGAACAGAAAGCGATCAAATGTTTAGAAAGGAAAAGCTCTAAGGCACAGGGAGCAGAAACCTACCCCTCAGGAAGCTCAAAGCCAAACTTGTACTCATAGGTGTTTCCAGGTCTCATGATCACCATCTCATTCTCACCTGAAGGGAGATAAAGTGAGTAGACATGAGGTTTCTTCTAACACTTAAAATGCACCTATGTGATAGAGAGTTCCTGGGCAGTGTGCAAGATTAATGTAAGGTAGCCTTCACCCCCCTCACCCCCCCCCCCAATAGTCTCCAGTGAGAGACGCTGATGCACTTGCAAAAGCCCTGTATGTTCAAAGGCTCAACCAGGGCAATTAGCCTACTATTATTTTAAACAGGAAACAAAGAATAAGCTCCTTAAACAAAAAAGGAAAATGTTTTAACTTTTCTTCAAGAGCTATGTTAACATCCCTTAGAGTCACTCTCAGAGTACAGCACCCTAAGAAATTGAACCCAGCGCCCGGGGCAGGTGGGGGCTGCCAGTTAAAATGTGAGCGATAAGGAAGCGAGCGACGCAGGAGTCTCCCCACCCAGCCCGAGCCTCTTCCAAGGCACAGCGGAGTCCCCGCCCGCTGACTGGCCAGCGCTCACCCCTGGGAAACAAGTGGGCCACTCACCTGTCGGCTCGTCCTCCAGGAGGAGCGTGTCCTCGTAGCGCAGGTAATCCAAGGTCTGCTTGCACTGCTGGGAGCCCTGCGTCCAGAGGACTTTGGCCACCCCGCAGGCCAGGATCCTCACGGCCTTGACCCGGGTCACCTCGCACACCTCCACCAGCACCCGGCCGGCCACCTTCTCCCCGCTGCCGTACACCTTCTCGGGATCGTTAAAGACCACCTCCAAAGACTTGATCTTCTTGAACATCACCATGATGGTGCTGGGCTGCCTCGAGAGCGACAAATGAGGGAGGGAAGCAAAACTCCAGCCCCAAAACCGCAGACAATAAAAGAAGACTTCGCTCTCGACTGGACGTCTCAAGAAAAGACTTTGGGTTTTAAGTGGCAGGTTATGGCAACGGACTGCAAAAGAAAAGACAAGCTGGTTCTTCTCTTTCCTTTTCACCCCCAACTGCCAGAGGCGAGCGTGGCGTGAGGATGACAGCACCGCTCGGAGACTGGGCGCAGAGTTCCAGGGCAGAGCCGGAAACGGCCCTTTATAGTCTCCGAGCGCCCGTGCCCACGCGAGCGCCGGCCCGGAGGCGCGTGCTGTCCTCGTGCACAGCGCTCCCATTGGCTGCCCGGCCCTTGTTTACCAGGCGCTCGACCAATCAGCGCGCGGCCGGCGGCGCGTGAACACGGTGTGTTCCTGGCGGGGAAAATGGTTGCGCTCTGCCGCCGCGCGGGTGGTGGGGGCGGAGGGGCGCGGGGCGAGGGGGCTGACGCGCGCGGGGCGCCCTCCCCAGCGCTGGGCGAGCGGGGCCTCGCTGACCCCAAATCCACCCCGGGCGCCGGGCTTTCGAGGGCAGGTGCGGTGCCTTTGGGCCGTGAGCGGCCCCCGCAGTGGCAGTGACAGAAAACTGTGTTTTGAGGAAATTTCGTGCTGGCGTTGGCCAGGGCGTTCGTTCCTCGGCGAGCGTTTGCCCGCGCTCCCCGCCGGCGTGGGAACCGAGCGGGGCTCAGGGGAGCCTCTCGGCTGGGGGAGGGGGGCCGGGGTCACGCAGGCTTCAGGAAACCCCCTTTGTCTTGCTCTTAGCCCCGCGTCCTGACTGAGGAAAACCAGCCCCGCCGTGTGTGAGACACTGCGCCGTGTATGTGACACTGGCCGCGCACCGCCGGCTCCCCATTCCTCCCTGCAAAGCGGGCTGGGGGTCCCGCAGCCCTCCGCGGTCTGCCCCTGGGGGCGCGGCTCTGTGTGCCTGTGTGTTTCGCACCCCCTGTACCCTCTTTCCTGTTCTCTCTGGAACGGAAATTGTAAGGGCGTGTTCACATCCTGCTGCTTATCCCCTCATCGCTTGGTTTCTCTGTGCAAAGTTGGGGAACACTTTGTTTATGTTCCTCGCCTTACCTCATTACCTCTTTGTTAACCTGTGTCCTTCAGGTTCTGATTATTTCTCACCCACTCCCTGCTTCTCCAGGAAAAGGGGGGGGGAGGTGTTTTTTCGCTTTCTTCCCGGGTTACTTTCACTCTTGTCTTTAACTCACTGAATCAAAGGTGCCTTCCTGAGCCGGTTGCCCACCCTCCTCGAAACTTTCCTGTTAGTTAAACGCAAGAAAGCCAAAGCTGCTTGTTCTTAACTACAGTATCAGTGGAGAGACGGCTGTGTCCCTGCGTGGAGGATTTTCCTGCCTGTTAAAAGTTTAGGAATCAGTAAAAAAAGAAAGAGGGGACAGAAGGGTCGCTTGAACACTGTAAGCTCAGCTGTAGGAGACCTTGACACCTCATTCTGTGTCAGCATTTGGCTTCCAGATGGGTTTTCCCTAGCTGGCCTTAAGGTGCCTTCACAGCTGACTCCTGAAATATTAGTCATAAACGCTGGAAGAAAAATCTCGATGCAGAAATACCTGGGTTCGTCCTTCTCTTCTTTGATTCCTGAACCCCTTCATGGTCTGTGTTGGGGTATTAGATCATTACCTCATTTTTTGTGCAGGAAGAGGAAGATAATGTCCCCTCAAGTCGAGACAGAGAAGTAAGAATCCTTAGAAAACTCGCAAATCTTACCCTTTCAGCAAAAAAACAAAAACAAAAGAGAAGCAGGTTATTTTTCACTACTGTGAAGGATCCTTCTTCCTCATACACCTTAACTGGGCTGACACCCTCCGGCTAGCAAGTTATAACTCAATCTTGATATTAAGCAAGGTCATGAGTCAAGCATGAAGACTGTATGAGAAAACATATGCGCACATATACACAGCACCAGCGCCCAGGAACAAAAAGCAGAACATGTTGATCCTTAAGATCTGTGGGTTTGAGGTGACACTCTGTTCTAGAAAGTTAATCAACAAGCACTGAGTTGTTTTCAGCCAGTCAACAACATTGGTTCAGTTATTGGAATCTGGGGAAGTGGGACTCAACTAAAATGATTTTTAAAATCCAAAAGTGTGGCTTCTAGAAGAACACTTAGTTTGCTAGATATAAGGTGTAAAAATATGAAATGTCAAAATATTTACAAAGAAAGCCACAAATAATATTTTTTAAGGGGCTGGTGAGAGGGGAGTAATGATAGATCAGAGAAAGAGACATGCTGTATTGATTCGGCAAGTCTATGAAGTATTGCACTTTTCAGTTTGAAAAAACCTGGGGCTGTTTTTGTTTTTATTTTTGAAGATTCATTTATTTATGCATACAAGAACTGGAAAAACCTTAAGGTAGTTCGCTCTTGCTGTAAGTTCTGCTCATGGGCTCCAGGTTCTTCTTTCCTGTTTTGCAAAACTCAGTGGAGACCACTTGTTTGCTCTGTGTTATGTTTGGGTTCCTGTAAATGCCAGAAGACGATTTCACTTTGGCAGCGAGCTGCCCACCAGGCCTGCAGCCAAGACATGTTCTGCAAGGGAACCTCTGAGCCAGAGTTGTTTACGACCTTTCACCTTATAACCCGGTATTCTGATAAAAATTGCCTGTCCCCCACATTTCTTCTTTCTCAATTCCTAGGTGAGAGAATAAAAAAATCTGGTAAACACTTGGCTGAAATGTGGGGTGCAAACACTTCTCCTCAGGGGTGCTGGGGGAAAGGGCAGGCCCAGGAGGAACTGCAAAGTAGGGTTAAGTCCAGGAATTTTGCAAGTGAGGTCATCTTTACCTGTTCCTTCCCACCTTGTTCACTCCCAGTGCCAATAGGAAACCCGGTGGTGACTGTCATTTGGTCTCCTGGGCCAAAGTGCTCTGAGGTCCTCAGACAAGCAGCTGTTACTTTTCTTTTTAACCTCTGGCCTGACAAAGAGCTGTGAAGACCACCTCCTAATGCAAAACAACCCCCTTCCTTTGTGCTTTTAATCACTGTCACCTCCACCCCTCAGTGCTCCTTTCATCTTTAGTCACCATTTCCCCTTTTATTCCAGGGGATGTTAATTCAGGGTCAAACCAAGATAGGAAGGGAAAGTGCCAAGTAAGTCTGTTCAGTTCTGGATATATGCCTCCAAGTCATAGATTAATAAAGCCATGTGGCAAATCGATACAGCCTCTTGGAGGTCAGTAACTTTTTGGGTCATTTATAGAGCACCTGTAATGGGCCACGTCCTTTCCGTAATTATGTCAGTGATGTTTTGTTTATGAATTCACCAATCATCTTGCTCCAGAAAGGATTAAAGTTGGATTATTTTGGTGAATTGTCACAATAACTCTATGACGAAGGGTTAAGACAGGTGCAGGGTGTTTCTGACTTGCCTGAGGTCACAGATTTTGTAAGTAAACCCAGGTCTGCCTCAGCTAGAATCTGCAGCCTGGCCCGCGTGTTGGCCTGCCTGTCCAGTCTTTACTGTAAAGGATTCAGGGTGAGACTCAAAATGGTTGAGGAAGGGGGATTCTTCGGGGTCTTTAGAAGAGCTCTAGTTTCCTTGGTTTCGTCAAGTGACTTGCCCTGGGACAGCCAACTGTGCGGCTGCTTCCCAGACCCTGTCCTTGTCTGCAGGAGGCTCTGTGAGGGCCTCTTTTTGTTTGTTTTCTTAGTGTAGCTCTTGTTACTTAAAACACCTCACCTGCAAGTCCACATTACATGTGCATTGGGATCTCTTTTTCTTTTTCTTTTTTGCTGTCACACATGACTTTCTCTGTGAAGCCCTGGGGACAGCCTACACACAGAGCACAGGGAGGCACGGGTGGGGGGGGGCTGGGGGGCACAGGGCCTCGAGGGGCTGCAAGGGGAGGGGCAGAGCATCTCTTGCTCAGTCCAGTCTCCACCCCACCCTGCTCTGAGATGCAGTGCAGGCACCCCCAGCAACCCCAAGGTGGGAGAGAGGCCAGCCTGCCGCCTCAGCAGTAGGGGGAAGGCCCTAGAAGAAACTTTTTCTATGGTGAGGAAATACTGGAGATGTAGGAGTTATCCACCTTCAGGGAGAGATGGGGAGAGGAAGTGGATTTGTATGTTCAGAACAGTTGCAGACTCATTTAAGAGATCGTCAAGTTCTCTTGGTATATTTTTAAAAATCTTATTTCCATTCTCATGCACTAACCCCATCTGTTTTCTTCCTTCTATTGTCAAGTGTCTCAGGAGCATAACATACCAGCTTTTTCTGCTGACTAAACTTGTCCCCAGTGACCACTGAAATGGCTTCCTTCAAGGTTTCCAGAGCAAACCAGAGTGGTTCTGCAGGCCTTATTCACCTTGACTCCTACATAGTGTCTTATGTTCCTCTATCAATAATGGTGATGGGATTATCAGGAGTGGGGGGGGGGGAGGTGGGACTCTCACTGAGTAATTTTTTTAACTCAAGATTGTGGCTTCTCTTTTTTAAAGAATTATTTTATTTATGCATATAAG